CATTTCACTGTCTTCTGAAGTCCATTAGAATGAAGGATTCTGCAATCCGGACTTCGCATAAAGCATCTTCTGCTTCATACGAGAAGGACTCACACTTTCCATCTGAATTTTGCGCATAGACCGATAACAAGGTCAGTGCTTCAAGATGTTGCAACTTCAGTCGAAAGAATGCAATTCTTCAGCAATTCAGTGACTGTCAGCCAAGATGGACTCTACCGAGACATCAACATCGGCTTAAGCGGGGTTCGTGGAGTCGACTCCTGAGTGGGATAGATTTCATCCGTAAAAGTTTGGAGTTTCAGATGACTAATGATTCGTTAAAGAGAGCAACCATTTTCACTCAGTACCTTGCGGTCTTATCAAGCAGCTCCTGCCTTTCCCTCTGAGTGAGGAAATGTTTTAATTTCCGACTATAAGCTCCCACTGTCTGTATCGTTTCGGTGTATCCACATCTGACATGCTATGATAGAACGGTGCTGGCTGCTTTCTCCGTTCAGAACGGATAGCGGTTCTGTTGCAGACCGATGTCTTCATCATCTTCTCGTCGATCTTCGCGAGCCGTCGGTATGCTGCTATGACTCAAGCTGCCAGGTGGGAAGCAGGTTCTGATCATCGACTTTTTAGCAGCCTACCTTAGTTCTGCAACAACTTGCAAGGCCCTTGGAAAACCAGACTACGATTGACTCGCTATAACGTTCGATGACGGCAATGCCATGAGGGGTAAATGGCTAAGTTCAACGCGAGAATTTGCCACGGCCCCAAATCCTCATTCTTTTTCACCCCGGCTTAAAATTGGCAGCGGCGGAGTTGCTGTGATCGCCTGGCATCTTCAACAACTGCACGACAATTTTCGTCCAAATCTACCCATTTTAGTCTTTAATCCATCGTCAGTACTCGAAGCCACCGATCAAAACAAGAGACTGACACGTGTTTAATTCATATGGTTGCAGGAATTACGAACGACTAACAGATTTGCTTTTTTAAAGTGTTTAATTTCTGTGTAAATGGAAGACGGGAATAATGCCAGTCTTGTGACCAAATGATAGTTCTGCCATATCCAGTTCTCATAAAATAAAAAGGTAGTATAATATAATGTGTAAAAGGTTCAAGATTAGCCCAGTGTCAGGATCACTGGTATAAATTTTTATTAAATGGGATCAAGTATCGGTAAACCTTACACAATAAAGCACAGGAATCGGATTGTACAATTCTGTTCTTTATACTTACTTTGTTGTGTTTCTTATATCAAAATGAAACGGACAAATGTCTGAATAAACCCGCGCGATTTGAGTTTTCAAATGAATACCAGATTTTGCTTTAGACGTTTGGATGTTGGCGTGCATGACGTTCAACTTTTGCTCGTTGCTGGAATTAGCAATAGTGGGCTATCTGACGAAAAACCAGACTTCTGAAGAGAACAGTAAAACAGAAAAAAGCCGCTGCATCAGAGCACAGCGACACTGTCCTGAATATGAACAGCAGAATTCATCAAGATTCATTTACGATCAGACGCGGAAAGTTAGATATTTTAGAACAAGCTGGTGCTTTAACAGCTGTTGTTTCCGCCTGCTTCTGCTCGTTTCTGCCGACAGAATCGACAAGGCATCATGCTTTGCATTTCCAGCCTTATTTTCTTTGTTTAACATTGCATACTGGGGATACTACTTAAGCAGCTAAAGCAAATCTCCCCCTACTCCCACTTATCACAAAAAACTCCAGTTGGAGCTGTAAGACAAAAATCTGTCATTTGTAAAGCTAAGAATTCTAATCTTTTCGTTTCTGACTGTACGAAGTTGTTATAAAAATGAACTATGTTTGAACCCGAAATTGACTGTTTATATAATCAGTGGCATGCTTGGTGATCGATTTTGCTTTGCCAGCTCGCGATGCACTTACATAGCAAGGGCGAATCGATATAGGGTTCCAGCGAAGTAGGAGTAACGGAAACGTCAAAAGAAATTATCGAACGAAAATAGCGAATTTTGCATTCAAGAAAAATCGATTACGCTTATTCCTCAGTCAACATTTGTCCAAAGCATGAAAATTGGATGGTTGAAGACATTAGAGAAAATCAAACAGGTACGCTCGCCTATTACTTTCAATGAACACGTAGATCTCCATGCGGCTGGTCTACAAACGCAGTTACAAAATTATATTTGTAGTCTAATAACTGTAAACCTCATTTATGTACTACTGCAAACATGGGCGACAGGTTTGAGGCTATGAAACGAACTTCGCTTACGCATATTTCATAGCTGATGACAAAAAGCTTCTGCAGCTTTCCTTAAGTGATCACATATTGCATAGTAACACATATAGTAACTTAGTTAAGTGTAAGCACCTTAAGCAAGAAGTAAATTTGGCCACAAACATCCGTATAAATGAAAACAACTTTAGAACGAGGTAAAACCATCAGAAAAACAATTTCCCAAATTTCTTGTACACAAACAAAGAGGTCCAAATTCGAGAAAGTTGATTCGTTAATGTCTACGCGTTTCTTTTCTATGCTAGGGATTCAATTTATGAATCAGTGAGTCCATACTATCTGATCTGCGATCCACTTCAGCCATCACGTCAAGGTTTGCCGTTCTTTGCAACATGGTGTTAGTGTTTCTTTAGCTTACTCATCTTCTATTACGTCGCTGTATGAGTATTTAAGCCATACCGTCAACGTTAAGACCTTTCGACTGACCCAAACAATGGGCCTGCTTGCGGTTAACCCTACTGATACTGGAGCTAAGTCTAGCAAATTAGGCATCCACTACAAATGTTGTGAATATCATCATTCTTTTCGGCACCATATGATCATTTGAGTATTCACACTTTCACATTGTTCAACTGTTACCCACGTCTCTTCTATTTGACACAATCTTAAGTTCTGTACAACGGTTCCGGTTCTTCAACTGCGTGGTAATCTTCCGTCCTAATTGGCTGACCAATTTCTAATCAAAGAGCAGCCATCTCTTCATTTGACGCAATCAGTTGACAAAAAGTACATCCTTTCGGTATACTATTTAATTCCATGTTGACTTTTCTCCTATTTTCTATAATCGAACTAACATGCTTGAATGCTAGGGCTGTAGAAAGGCGGCCCGTCACTGACACGCTATTATGAAGTAGTCCCCTCCAATCATTGAAACAAAGCCAACTGTCTCAAAAACTGCTACTATACATCGACTTCCTTTATGCTTCTTCGTCGATCTCCCAATCCAAAGTATCTATGACCAAATCTTTGCCTTACACCACATTGATGAGAAATTAACGGAGATCTTTTATCCAGTTTACAAGTGCTTTATACGTCCGGATTCCGCGCAAACAAGTACTGGACATGCCTGAGGAAGTATGGAATCGACGGCTAGTTGTTACGAGTCATATCATTATATATTCAGGACAGAGGTTGAGTCAGAGTAATTGGCATTAAGTTACGACCTTTCTACGTTAACACCAGTCTGCGCTAAGGGTGCACTATCCTTCCTTCTCTATGTGCATGGGTAGGATAAACAAAGTCAAGGTGATGAGTAAATCGAGATTGAGAAATCTCGAGAGAAGTTGCCTGTTTGCAGACGACCTTCAGTATCTTCCGAAACTGATCTTCAGCGTGCCTTGGAAAGGGTGGCAGCTGAAAGGTGAGGTGGCTCATGCCCGCAGACGTGTCTAAAACCAAATGCCTGGTACTTTTTCGTTCCCCTGGCCACTGTGTTCTCAAGGCAAACGGAGGAGCAGTGTCATACGCGAAACTCACGCATATCGGATGGATGCGGCCATGAGTCCAGGGCAATGACCGAAAAACTGCGATTTAGGGCACAAGCGATTAAAATAGGTTTTCTAAAACAAATCGCTGGGATCATGGGCCTCGACTGGACAGAGTGAACGTTCTGGTATTCATGAAAATCCTAGTGTAAAACTGCAGCATGTCCAGATTGGAAAGTCTGAGTGGCAATGGTTTTGCAAATGCTTGCAGAAACGAAGTCGAAACAGGCAAAATTAGTTGGATGAATCTCCCCAAAGATTCAAGGGAAGGTCAAGAATGATTTGAGGCAAATGACTCCCTGTACTCTGCTGCAGGATGTGTTCTGCCCAAATTCAGACGCTTGCGCAGGATCGCGAACGCTGGAGACTGTCTGACGCTGCTGACCCGTGACAAAAACGGATAAGTAGAAGTCAAAATTGACTGACTGAACCTATGCGCGAGAAGGATTTGATCGGTCACCGCTTAACTGTCGTTGCGACGACCATATTTGCTTGTTTCAGAGGTTTTCTGTCAAAATCATATTTGCCCTAATAGTTGAACTGTAGCGCACTTAGGATTGATAATGCTCACCCATTTCCACGTTTCGCATTTTGATATTAGAGTGCTTATTACCGAAGAAGGTAAAATTCTTTATTAACAACAGATGTTCATTCAGTCTTTTCAAATATACAGTGACAAGAGAGCTTCTCGGGGAGAGTCTAAATTTTGTTTTGAGAAACCATTATTTAATGTTGCACCATATTGCTTTCTTGAGTATTTCATTAATTTCAAGACTACCCACAGTGCAGAGATGTAGTCTGCCCTTGAACTGTCCGATCTAAAGCGAAATGCCTTTTCTCTCAACAAAGTATGCATATTAATTAAGCAGTCTTCTTTAATAAAAATAAATAAAATACACCACAGTCAGTTCGAACAGTAAACTGTATCTCTTGGTGTCACCAAAACTAATATAAAAGGTTTAAATTAACATCAACAATGCAAAAATTTGATAAAGTAATTACACGTTCGCAAGGGAACTGGTTAACCAAATCTGTTGCAAATTCAAATAGCATGGAGAAGATTAAGCAGTTTAACAATAAAAAACAACTCGATAAAAGCGAAGTTATCCTCTATGAAGATTTTAA